TTAACATCGGAGTGCTTGACGTCATTAGAACAAACTTGTTGAATTAAACTTGAAGTAACCACTCCTACTTGTGTTTCACGTCAACGAAATAACTACACCCAGTATGGTGGTCGCCTATATAAAGCTTTTCTCTTCCAACAATTAAAATAATTTTGTGGGAAGATAACATTAAAATGATATTTTGTCGGAATGTGGACCGGATTAATCTGGCTTCGATAAGGTCCGGTGGCGAGCTCTTGTTAATTCGATGAAGAATTTTATGGCTCCGAAAAACGCATGTACTTCTACGTTTTTATGGATGAAGAAGATTGGAAACACTGTAGCCCATAATATAAGGTACAAAATTACTCACCAGCTTACTTGCGGTCCGCTATTAAACGTCATTTCAATAAAATGCATTAGATAAAACGAGAAAATCTGATTTACATACAATATCGAATTAAAAAAAATACGAGAATTGATTTATGAGATACATTGAAGAGTCCATATATGGGCTTGTGTCAAGTAGGCTTCATAATCGAACAATATGGCTAGAATCAAATTGGATGACTGGCGTTATGTAGAAGCCTCTCGTATCCAGTTTCACCAAAATCTGAGTAACACTACATGACATACATGAAAATGTTCATTTTTTGCTATGTGAACTGGTCTTTGTAACTGGTCAATATGGAAAAAAATAAAAATGGTCGACTAATATTATGCAAAAAAAATCTCATATCTATTTCACCAAAATCTGGTAAATGCAACTGGCCAATATAGGTAAAAAATAGGCTACCTAAAATTACTAAATTCTTTCATATTCAATTTCATCAAATTCTGAATAACAATGCATGGCATACGCGAAAAAGTTAATTTATTACTGAGTGAAGTAGGCTTTGTAATTGGTCAATGTGGCTGATTTTAACCGAGTTTTTATTAATGGTTCATGATATACAGGAAAATGTTCTTGTATGACCTAATGTAATGTCTGCTTTCTTACAGATCAATATTACTGATGTAATATTGTGTGTGTAACAATTTTTAGCTAAATCACCAATGTCAAATTTCGTAGATCTGTCTGACGGTTGCCATATGAATAAAATGAGGCAACAAGAAACAGAAGAGGAGGTCTAGTACTAGCAACAATTTTAGCTTTATAATTATTTTGACGTTTCAATAGCACTTCCACAAGAAGTAAGATGTAGGCTTACTCATGCTCAGAAGCCATCAAAGAATAATCCTGAGCTCAAATAAAATTTACAGCATAAAATTTAAAAATATAACTAAACTAAAAACCCCCTCCCAGAAAAAAAGGAATAACATAAAAGAAAGGAAGGGAGAAAGAAATAAAGAAAGAGAAAGGCTTTCTAATATTTCAGTCCAGGTTGGGGTCACTCATTCTTTCTTCTTTGGCAATGCGATTATGAAATCATCTCAAAACATAGATCACAATATATTAACACTAGATCCAACTTCCTAATTATAACTTAATACACAAGATTAATCTAAAGTGTTCACACATAACAAATAAAACCCAAGACTTAAATCACACACTCATCAACCTAAATCTCATTCCAAAACTATTTCAGTGGATAACATATAACTTCACATCAGACTAAAATGTCGACATATCTGACTCTCTGATTTCATTTGGAGGATCCATTTACATATCCAGTGGTTCATGTGAAGGTGATATTCTTAAGTAATCATATGATTCTTCACTTCTGCCATATATTATTTTATTGAACTAGAGTTTAAGCGCTAACGCTTGGTCATGGATGGACAGACAGACAGACACAATATTCATATAAAATATTTTCTTTTACTTTGTAAAAAATCCTCCAGAATCTGTTTGGCAGAACATAACAAGAAAACAGCACAAATTTCTGCCTCCTATCACAATTTTTATTGCATCATTTCTTGTTATATCCTACCAAATTAGCCTGGCCTGAGGTGATTAAATAGCTGTGTGACCCTGACAGGGATTGTTCAGCGACTAAGGGACCCAACTGAGTAGTTGTCCTCCTCCCCTCACCTGAGGACTGAAACGGATCCAGTTTCTGAAACGTTGTGTTTTCTAGCCTCTATAATACTGGACGATGGAAAAAGTCCAAAAACCCAGTAATTCTGAGTATTATATAGTTGATCGGCATTAATAAAGAACATGTGTAAGTTACATGAATTCAGTTCTTGATACTGTGATGTGTTACTGAAGGCTGGACTATAATACATCCATCGCTATGCAACGGACAATGAGAACGCATGCTACCTAGGAAACCACTTGGATAACATGAGAACCTAACACTGGGCATCTAAGCAATGAATTGTTTGAGGCAGTAAACATTTATTCACACAGCAACAAGAGATCTGTTGCACAGCAGTGGGCGAAACTAAACCTTTCGACAAGGTGTTCCCTATTCAGCCAGGGTGCAGGATATAACAGTCCAACTTTGGCAGTTCAAGTGACTAGACTGCCGTGGTAGTGATTACTACTACAAATAGAGCAAAATCTGCTGTACTGAGCCCGGATTGACAGAGGCCTTGTATATATTGTACATAGAAATAGGAATTAAGATTAAATCTGTAAATATGTATGTAAATACTGACAATGGACTTACTAACACAGACTATGACTGACAAATGACAGACCCGACCTCTCGTCAGAGAGGGTGCCCCAAATGAACAGGACAGTAACTTCCATATAAAGAAAAAAATATCTGGTCATTAGCCCCAATCGGGGCTCAACACCGAGACAGACTGACTGACCATCAGTCGCAATGTGATTTTGACTTTGAAATATATAAAAGACAGACCCATCCTCTTGTCAGAAAGGGTGGCCCTCAAAAACAAGACCGTAAATGTCAAACAGTAATAAATATCTGGTCATGAGCCCCAAATAGGGCTCAACACCAAGACTTACTGACTGACTGACTGACTGTCAGTTGCAATGTGACTTTGACTTTGAGACCAGTTAACCCCGTGTGGAGACGAGGTCGAATACCTCCACCGTGACCCTGTGAAACGTAGGAGGCGACGAAAAGGGAAGTCTCAAATCTGAGACAGTAAAATATGGTCAGGAGTCCCAAGGGACTCAGACCCGAGAAAGACTGCGCTGGCAAGGGCCAGCAGCATATACAAAAGACAGACTTGTCCTCTCGTCAGAGAGGGTGCCCCACAGAAACAAGACTGTAACTGTCAAACGGTAATTAATATCTTATCGTGAGCCCCAGATGTGGCTCAACACCAAGACTTACTGAGTGACTCACCATCAGTCGCAATGTGACTTTGAGACCAGTTACTTCAATCCAACAAGAGACCAGTAGAGCTCGTAGCTAACTAGAGCTAAGGACAATTGAGCTTCGAGCAGAGCAGAAGACACTTCACCGAGATTAGAGGTACGAAGGCATATAACATTGAAGAGGAAGCGTCCAAAGACATAAGTATGAATTATTGTATTTGTGAGTGTAAAGTGATTGTCCAATAAATATTCGTCCAAATCCGAAACCCACATAAATTTTGTCACGTTACCTAGGAAACATAGAACAATATATTTCAGAATTGTTAACTATGCACCCGAATATGTAACTCTTTGCGAATTCATTCTTGCTGTCCTTTAAAAGTAACTATCAGTCTGCCCATGCCTATAAAATGTATCATATTTCCCTGCCACACTGACGTTTTTCAGCGTTTTATTGTGTATTTTGAATCGTATTGATTTCATGATTTTCATGTTAATCATTTTCTGTTCCCACAACCAATTTTGCATGTATTTTCCACTGTTGTTGTTAATACAGCCATTTTGCTATCACTTGTGACCAGTAAAATGAGTAGGAATAATTCCATCAATATGTATGAAAGTAATAAAAAATCCGGATATTACAAATAGTTTTTATTCTTTCACTGTCTTTTGCTTACAGTTACACATAAGGTTTGAACTCTATACAACCGTTCCACCAACTTCAGCACCCTTCCAGCCTCCAAGATTTTCCTGTGAGTTGCCTCTGGCACTTCTTGTATTCACCAGTAGAGTAGGTGCAAAGTATGCCATGACTAGTTGGTATGTTCAGATATTTTCCTATGGGATACTGGTTGCTTTGCGAACAGCAGTGCGAAAAAATCTTCTAGAGTTGGGTAATAAACTGCTTTATACAGCAGACACAGTTAATTCTCAATTGCTATACAGCTTCTAAATTATTTCTGCAATACTCTAAAACTTCTTAACAACCCTGCAGCTTCAAAACTTCCTCAGGACAACATCCCAGTTTGAGGTTCTGGAATGAAAATTCCTTCCTCCTTTCCAATCAAGACCATTTTTACCCAGGTCACCCTCAAAGTCATGGCCCCAGCGTGCTCACCATTTAGCTCAGGTTTATAGCCAAGACTCTGACAATGAATATTTGTTCAGCACTCTTTAAATTGTCAGGTAGTGATGTTTACCTTCAAACATCCTTCCCAAATTGTAAAACCTCACATTTAAAGTAAGGGACCCTCCTTTCCTGTCTAAACTTTTGATATAGGGATCGGCTATGGGTTGAATGACCAAGGGGTCAAAGTTTGAGTCCTGGTGGGGGTTAGAATTTTCACTTCTCCATGTTGTCCAGACTGGCTCTAGGGTCCACCCAGCCTCCTATCCAATGGGTACCGGGGGCTCTTTCCTCGGAGGTAAAGTGACCAGTTCAGGAAGCTGACCACTCACCTCCAACTAGTGCCAAGGTCAAGAAAACGTGGGTCTATACATCCATTCCCCCATACGTCTTCATGACTGGTGTAGTGCTTAATTAGTTAAGCATAGGGACAACTTTAACTTATCAGTTCCTTCCTTGACCACAAGAATCTTAAGTGCCTGTATCCAGGGTGGGGCTTACCACTTAGCATTAAAAGCATAATGGGGGATATAATAAAATAAAATCTAATTTTACAAATACCATTAACATTCCTATGGGTACGGGTATCCAAAGGTCGGGCAGGTCTATCATTTTCCTGGTAATCACAGGGTATCTATCGTAAATAATAATAAATACTTTCAGGATGGTAGGATTACATTTATTACTGGAAATTACATATTTAACAGAGACAAAAGTTTAGGATAACTGGCACTTTACTGCCCCTTTTGGCCTCTTGCTGTTTATTTCTGTTGGTTTGTGCTTCACCAGTAATAATGGGAATATTCCCTTCTGCATTCCATCAACATGGTACATCCATTTCGTTCTGCATTCCAAAAGTTGTACAATATGAATGCAGTCCACCCAAGGTATCTTGGATCATTTTGCAGTCTTCCCAGGTACAGCTTGCAGTCTGTGACGTGGATTTCATCTTATTCTGGATTCATCTTTGAATTGTTTGCGCAGGTTCCAGGAGGAAAATATGTACTGAAAGTGTAATTTTTCATATTCAATTCTGAAAAAGAACAAGAAAAAAACTTTCCAAAATTAAATTCTAGATATATCATGTGTGAGGGGAAAAAGACAAAAGCAACTGCATGGTAAATATGAGAACATCTGAATCGTGACTGCTCTGTTTACATATTTCCATTTGAGATTTTCATTTATCAATAGTTTTAATTGCTTCTACCATCCTTTTATCTCTGTATTCCATGATGCAAAATTTCTCACAGTAAGGTTACGTGACCAGCACAGGTTTATTTAAGTTATTTATAAAACATTTATTTCATTATCTACCATATTATTCTGAGTTTGAATATTTCTTTATCCGAATTATAGACATGAAATNTGATTGTACGCACTGTATATGTCCTGTGGAATTTAAAAACTCACTTGTTGCATTATTCTGTGAATTCTACATAAAGTGACTGAAGGATAGGGTGTAGCCCTCCTCACTGGTACTGGCTGGTCTTGGATGTGAAACCTGTCAAATGTGAGACTAACACCTTACAGCTGGTCTGCCTTTCCCCCATTTTCAGCATGGGTGAGATAATATTTTTAACTGTTGGGGAAATACCTATAAAATTATTAAATTGCTTCTGGTTTGGGACTGTCATGTCCAAGCAGCATGTATGTGTATGTGTATGTGTGTGTGTGTGTGTGTGTGTGTGTATGCATGTGCATGGAAGTGTATAATACCCCACATATTCTCAAAATCAGAAGAAAGTGAAGATGTCAGCTTCACACACAAATCACATTATCCACAAGCAAAGTAAGTGGACAGCCATTTATCAGTCAACTATATCAGGAAGATAACATTTACAGAAACAAAATCTTCTGCCAGAATGCTCTTTTAGCTGTTCTGCTAAACACTTCCTTCTCGATCATTTCTTTCTGAAACATTTCATTTAGATCCATGAATGTCTGCAGCAGTGTTTTAGTGTAGTGCGATCTGAAAGTGGCCCAAAACTTAGAAAACTGGTGCTCTTGAACTAACCAACTTTTCAACTTTACAGATCGACGTTCTTGCTGATTTCAACTAGGTGTTTGCACAAGGTGTGTAAGGGCAAACCCATCACATTGAAGTAATCTCCTTCAATCTTCTCAATCAAACTGCCACCAAGGCCTTGGATGCCATAACCTCCTGCTTTATCCCTTAAAATTAAACAATGAGCAATTAGTAGAATTTTACAAAACATCAGTGCAATTACTTAATTTTCAGGCTTTTGTGTTACATATAACAAAGAAATATTTGTATGAGGTTGAAATTTGGTTGGAAATAAATTAATTTCTGTGTTTTAATTTATAAACTCTGGACTTGCAAGAGAAATTAAACATCATACAAGATTTTTTCAGGATTTTATGTTCTCACAGTGGTGGTTATGAACAGTTTTATCCTCTGAAATATATGACCATGTAGTCCATTGAAAGTTAACTGATGTTTCAGGGGAATGTGTCACTTTCACCTCCAGGGAGAAAGAATAAGCCAAGAAAGAAACCAGTGTGAAGCAGGTGGCAAGCATGGCTGAGGATAGAAGTGACATGTTCCTCAGAAACATCAGCTGACTTTCAACACACTACACAACATTACATCCCATAACAAAGAAGTCTTCAAGTTTCATTTACTTTTATAGCTCTATTATAATATGAGATGCATTGAACTGATGCACAGATATTATGTTATATTTTACTTTACGACATTTTTAATATCTCAAGCAATTAACAGGCACTACTTACAAAGGTTCTCCAGTTTTGACATATGCCTTTATGGTTTCATCTGAAATTGGAGCCATGAAAACTTTGGTGCTCTCACTAAACTTGATAATCTTGGTACACGTGCGGACAATAACACCGGTGAAAACAGTATGTGCATGTCCTCCTAGCCTGTTGAGAAGTTAATTATGTATAAGGTCGTGAGAATGATGAATTAACACAGTTATATTACTAATTATCGAGTAAGGGAATATCTGATATAGGCATACACGACATTCTGGGAATAGGCTTTAATGCTGTTTTCAGGCGACTTGCCAACACATTTAAAAATCTTTTTATTTTATTTACTGTGGGAGCAGTTTCTTATGGTACCAGTCAGGATCAAACCCAGAACACTTTTACTACTAACTTAACAGGCCAATTACTGGATCACTGAAGTAAAGCCTGGCTAATGCCATAAGAAACACAAATACATAAAATAAAAAAAGGCATTCGCTTTTTTAAATATTATTTATAATGAATATACCTTATACAATGGAAGTTATCATACATTACAGTATTTGAAAATTAATTTGGTGAATTTATAAATACTTAATAAGGAATTTATACATAGATAGACTTCTATTGTCAATTAACCTGTTAAAGACATTGTAAGCAATTTAGGTTTAATTGTGCTTAATTCTTTCTGTTGTTAGCTCAGTTTCCTAATTCTAAAATCACATTCTAAGTAATTTGAATTACAGCAAAATGTTACATTATGAAACCCTCTCCAGTAATTCCTTGCTGAACGTTCATGTTAATGCTTTTCGAAAATTCCAAAAGCGAAGCAAGTTATCAACAACCAAATATATGTAAAAGCTAGGATTTGTATAATTTCTCCCTCACAAAATACTATTGCAAAAGGTAAAAGTAAAGAAGGTAAAGTTGTCCCTGTGCTCACTTAATTAAACATTAAGACATGGAATCATATGGGGAATAGAATTCTGCTCTGCCATTCTTAACCTTGGCACTAAATGGAGATGAGTGGTCAGCTTCATGCTTCAGCCACTTCACTCCTGGTAAATGAAGCATTGGTACTCAATGAACAGGGAGCTAACTGGACCCCAGAGCTGGTCTGGATGTTGTGGAACAGAGATAATTCTCTCTTACCCCTGCTAGAAATTGAATCACCAACCGACAAAGCCGTCACTAAAATACAGCAAAAGGTACTGTTTTATTTAAATATATATTGTCTAGTCCCAGTGCAATGCAAACCCTGCAATTCTTACTGCTTTAACATTTCAACTGCTGCTTCTTCATCTTCAGGTTTGCCATAAACCTTTCCATCCTTTGAAACAACTGTATCTGCCCCAATAATTATATCGGGTTTGTTTCCTTCTGCAAACAGTCTGTCTGCTACTTCTTGCACCTTGTTCAATGCACAGTCAAGGACATATTCTGAGTGACATTTATATTTTGATGGATCAAGGTTTTCTGCATATAATGATGGACAAACATCAAACTTAAGTCCCTGAAAACAGAAAAATGAATATTTTTTACTTCAAAGTTATATTCCCTTTCAATGGGATATTCTATTAATTATTATTTTGCTTCAAGTATTGATAAACACTATTTGGAGATACAAATGTTATTTTGACTCATATCTTAATTCAAACTACTGGGGAATGAATGTCTATATTAACCTTACAAGCAGCATTATGAATTCCTGGAATGGTGGACAATAACAGCTCCTTTCTCATAAAAAAAAATATTGTCAGTTGTACTTTCTGAGCAATCTTAGGCGCAAAAAAAAATTGTCAACAGCCTCCCTTACAGATGCATAGTTTAACACTCTTCTGTGTACTTAACATTCACTGTATCCTGATGCCCTCAGACTAGTTAAGTACTTAAGTGCCCTTTCTGCTTTGTTTATTATCTTAAGTGTGGCACTAGACATCTAATTTTACTTTTTCTACACTGACAGTGCAGAAAACACAGCTTAAAACATTCCACTTACCATAGCCTTTAAAATCTCTACTCTTCTTGGAGAACCACTTGCTAAGATTATCCTTTGTGACTGAAGAAATTGCATTGCAGGTTCCAACATTGTCAAGTGGTGCTACACAAGAGAATCTGTTATAAATTTCATCTTTTATGATTTCAGAAAAAAAAATGTTTTGGAGGAAAAAGTGTATGTAGGATATCATTAAAGAGAATCTAACAAAAATAGGTTGTAATACTGTAAATTGCTAAGGACAGAGAAATATTACAACACTGATGAACCTTCAGGTTACATATATCTTTTATTTAATGACACTTTATGAGCTACATATGTGACAACCAAAGGACTGGAAATTTAGGATGCAGATGGAAGGAATTGTGGTTCAGAGAATAAAAATTTGGATAACTGGATTAAACTGTTATCCATAAAACACACTATTATAATGTACTGTACTATAATAATAAAAACCAAAAAACTTTTAAAAGAGGAAAAATATGAAAATACATAAGTAAATTTATAAATTAACATTTTCAAACACTTCATCTGGAAAAGTCCAACAGTGATGTTTGTTTAGCAGAGAAAACTTCATTTCCCAGCTGATAGGTCTTGTATTCAGTATAGTGTAGGAAGCTTGGTTGCAGTTATTTGGTTAACTGGCAGTTCAGATAATTAGTGTTCTAGTGTACCATCTTGGCATCTACTTGAAGCGACTGAACAAAACTATGAAAACATAAGTAAGGACATATGCTTTCAGATTTTTGTGGCAACAGGTGTTCAGGTTGTGGTTTCCTGGGTTGTGACATGGGTGTATTATTGTCAGTGGATACCAACATTTCGGAGGAACATGCTGCCCTTATCTTCAGCATCAAAGTAAATGTTACATAGGCAGGTTGTGAGGAAGATCCATGGGAAGGCAGCAAGTTGCATCACCATCCAGCAAACAAGAAAGATCTATTGTTCATCTTAGTACACAGAGTCAAAGTCATCTGTGACCAGGAGAATCTTCATGTTGAACTGGACTTTCTCCAGAGAAGCTTTTGTGAAAATAATTACAGCATCAACCAGATCTGTCAAGCTCTCAATCCACATCAGCAGCATGTCAGAACACATACAGAGGACCCAGCATCAGTGGTTTACCTGCCATTCATCAAGAACACATTCAACCACATCAGCATGGTGCTATTCAGCCATAACATTGAGAAGGTATACATCCCACCTAAGAAAGTTTCCAACTTCCTTTGTCCCATGGAAGGGAGCCGTGAGCTAGAATGCACTCCTGCAGGTATACACTGGGCTGACCAGTTGTTCCATCCAGACTAATGAACCTCACCACACATTTGACAGTATCCACCAGAGAAGTCAGTTCTGTTGAAACACAGCATTCACCTCAGCCATTATATCCTGCTCAATAACGCCAGCATTCTGGCCAAGACGTCTGGCTGTAGTGACAAATTCTGTCAGAACACGAACAGGGAGGATTGTTTCTCCCAGGCTGAGGAAGCCTCTTTTTCATTTCCAGATGGAACAGAAGGTGGTTCTCTCCAGGGACAGAACAGCTACTTCCTTCTGAGATGGCACATCTCTGCCTATGCCCTCAAAAAAGGCTGTCTTCTCACGATTTAAAGTCCCTCCACCAAGTAACTATGCTGGTCCTTAATAAGGATTCTTTTTCTCACATTTCCTGTTTCCTGCTCCTATTATGTTAGACAAGACTGACAATTCCATGCCCCTCCCATGACCACTGTTGTTCTGTTCCCTAATATTGACCTCTTGTTTTCATGTTTCCTATTCACCAATCATATTGGCATAGAATGGGCTGTTTTCTCTCCCTTTGTCCTTACCCCTAACTTTTGCATCTACCAAACAGTGAACAGTATCATAATGAGATCATCTGAAAGATCGGACATCCAGAATACTTGCACTTGCATGCCATATCCTATCAAGATAGGATTAATCTGTGTCTTACCATCAGGTGAAGTCCAAATAATACATGAATGCTGTAATGTGGAAACATTGTTCTATTGACAATTTTATAGTTGGATCTGGCTAAGTTGACTACTCTATTATTACTACTAGTTTCATGCAAATTCTCATTCCCAACTCCTGGTTTGAAAATATATTCTACCTATTTTTGGCACCAAAATTATGTAACAAAATTTGGATGTGGTATTTAAGGAATTGATAGAACACATGCTCTAGTTCCTCACAGAAGCTGTTCTTCGTATTATCAGTTTTATCTTATGTTAGAGCATCAAAATTCTTAACAATATTACTCGTACACCAGCAAACGCTTGGTATCGTACAAGGCATCCTATAAGCAATAAACTTCACAGTCTTCACTGCTGATGTGACCCCCATATATATAAACCTGTTCCCAATTCATGGGTCTCATTTCCATTTCCATAGAAAAGTCTACAATTGCTTGTTGGTACAGTGCCACCCTTCTCACTATGACGTCTTGTAATCACATTATATGTATTCCGTATTTCCTATTGAGGGGGTGGGTTTCCCCATGCACTTAGACCAGTTACTGGTCCATTGTGCATCCCCCTTTAATTTCTACTGTCTCCATACCCTACCGGTACTGGTGCTTACTATCAGCCCCTTTCTGCCAGCGAGGTTCCAACCTCTTACTGGCAGTGGTATCTAATAGTTAGTCCCTTTCTGTCAGCGAGGTTGTCCCTCCTCTGGCAGGGGTTCCTAATCCCTTTCTGCCAGCAAGGTTTCTACCCTCTACTTGGCAGTGGTATCTAATACTTTAGTCCCTTTCTGTCAGAGAGGTCCCCCCTCCTCTGGCAGTGGTACCTGATACTTCCCCCATCTACCGGAGGAATTGGAAACTACTTGGGCGGGAAACTTGGCATAATTTTGCTCAGAGGTCTCCTAGAGACATGAGGTTCTTTTACATGCCGTAAATCTACGACACGGGACCCACGGCTTAAAGTACCTCCCGGAGGACTTGTTCCCTGAATTTTTCTGCCCTTAAAAATTCGACGACCTCTGCCGGGTATTTGAACCCGCGTACTACGAGTCATGAGGTGGAAACGTTACCTCTAGACTACGGAGGCCACTTCATTATACGTAACTTATACTTTGGTACTTTTCTTGCTACTGCTTTCAGTAAGATTGTCATATTGACTCCTTACATTGCATATGCCAAATCTGATGGTCATTTTGTTCCTTAGGTCATTCCAAAAAATCATCTAGGTCCAAGAACTTATGTAACATTTTGAAACATGCTGATTTTTACAGTGGGGAGCCATTAGCACCACACTAAACTCTCAAGCTGGAGGATTTATATTGGGAGGCCATTTCCACTTGCGGATGTGTCATGTTACAGTGAAAAGCAACCCACTTAGCTTGGTTCAATTACTTTCTGCACATAGAAATCTGTAACACAAGTATGTCTGGTGCCAGTCCATTAAAAAATACTGCATGGAGCAGTCATTCATAAGATTCCACCAGTTGCTCACCTACTCAAGAATATCCAAACATTTTATGGAACTCAAAGTTTCATTATCATGTTTACAAGAGCCCTCCACTGGTCCCTATTCTGAGCCAGATGAAAAGATGATAAGGGTGACCAGCACTATTATGATGACCAATCAAAATACTGCTCTTACATTCTTAACACTGCCCATATATATAAGATATTCAGTATGTCTCTGTAAAAATTTCACAAACCTCTCTAAGCTCTCCACATGACACGTCTCAAGCACTGAAGGGGGTCCTTTAAGAAATGTAAAGGAAACTTCAAGGTAATCTAGCTACATTAAGCTAATCTAATCGGTAATGGGGAGAGAAAACTGACAGTCAATATTTGCCAGTATCAAACTGAAGAACATTGGTAAGGGTACAAAGCACACAGGTCTTCTTGGTGACGATGCATAATATAGTATCAATTCAGCTAAGCTAACTTGACCTGAATTAACCTAACAAAATGAAACTGATTGGACAGAATTATGGAACACGACCTATTTCAGAAAATGGAACCCAAACTGTACTGTGCAATAAGGATGACAATCTGAAACCCATTCTTCAATTCTGGCCAGGAGACATGAAGAGAATGCTTGGGAAGCAACCACAGATTAAGAGGATTACTATGTTCCTGTATGTGATGCCATGTTGCTTTGTTTAGCTACGTACAAAGGTTCTGAGGCGCACACTGCCTCCATCTTCAGAGTACTCCTCTACCCTGAAGTTGGCTGCAACACATTCCTCTGAAAACTTGGTGCCTATCTACTGAACTATAGGGCACAACATCCCATATGACAATACATAACTCTCACAGTCACTGCCATGAGAACCTCAAAAAATACTTCTGATTTTATGAAGAATTTGATTTCTTCCTCATATGCAGGATTGCTAACCTTTCCTTGCCTGGTTACATCAGGGCTACTTCTATTTCATTCTTACTCCTTGTCTGAAATCAAACAGAATAGGTTAATTTTATACACATACATGGCATCTGGTGTTTAGCCTGAGATCTAGAAGTGTAGCTTAGAAGGCAAGTGGGCAGGATTGCTATGCAACCTGATACAATACTCAGTAAAATTCTAGTTTGCAGTATTAATGCAACAACTTATCCCTTCCCTGCAAACATGACAATTTCATTATTAAAAACATGACTGGAACGGTATTCTTAAGTTTCCATTATTTACAGAAACAGCAAAGCCTAACACTTATGCTACAAGCCGGAAGGCCGCAAGCTCAAATCGCGATGAGGTGGATTCTTTTCAATTTACCTAATTCTTCCAGCCACACTATGGCCCTGGGGGTAGACTCAGCCTCTTAACAGAAATGAGTACCAGGAATCTTCCTTGGAGGGTAAGGGGCAGTTGGCGCATAAAGCTGACAACCGCCATCTGTGAGCAGACTGTCTAGAAGATTTGGGAGCCTCAATTTCTCACAACCCTACGGACCTCCACGGCCTCTTACTTTAATAGCTTTACCTTTATCTTACCTTTCGTTGAGCTCTTTAAGATATGAATGTATAAGGAGTGGGCCTTCTTGGCCTTCTTGGCCTTTGCACCGCAACCACAGTGACCTATTGTGCCTTCTCTATAAGACAAGTAATACTACAATATTGAAAAATCACTAATGCAACCTAACGTTAACTTAATATTAAAATCAATATACCCTAATTTGGCTAATCTCATTCCGGGATTAAACACTTCCTACAGCCGACTTTTGTTTCATACCTCATATCCTACATATACCCCTACACCAGCGTTTGTGCAAATAGTTCATTAATATTTTCAACAGATGACGCAACTGACTACTGCGATGGAGGGAAATTCAACCGAAACTGGGCTGTGTTGTGCTGCCGTGTGGCAGTAAACATGTTGCGCGTGCGCATCGTATTGCTAGTATAACGGTAGATAACAAGTTGTCCATGACTTGTACCAGCGCATGGGAAGTTTGTAGTTGGTTGTACGGTGTACCCACGTGCATTGTATTTAATATCTTGTGTAATTTCAGTAATTTTTTATATTTGTAATTATAAATACGACAGATTAAAGGAAATTCAACTTTAAATAATGTATGTTTGTTTGTAACTTCTGGGTAATTTTTTATGGTGTGCCTGTTTTATATTTTGTAGTATCATTCATGCCGGTTTGAATAGGTTATGACTAAGTAATGTGTTACGTCGTATGTATTATGTATATATCTTACGCACTGTAATTGTATGTAAAGCATTTATAAGTATTGTGTTCTTTTAGTGTGAAGAAATTCAAAATGGCAGACGGAGATGCTAATGGTGTTCAAGAAAAAACGGCGCCCAGTCTAAACGACCAAATTGTTCGCCAGATTGAGGTAAAAGAAACTTATGGACGTAAACCCACCTTTCGTTGTGGTGTGGGAGGTTGTTGAACTCATTTTCAGTCGTGAAGATAAAAAATTGTGGGCGTGGGTTATGAGTAGGGACCGGATTTTTATGCCCTAATAATCCCTTAAATATTTATGCATGAAAAACTTCCGAAATATGCACATAAAAATTTATACCAAAAATTAAAATTGATTATACATTATTTTAAGACCAAATCAATATTTAAGTTCATTTAATGTAATCACAGAATGATTCACTTGCAATAAAAAGCTATACTTAAATACAAATCATGCAACAAAGCCAACATATTTCATTACAAATTTAAAAAACCAGTGGTACTCACATTTACCTCTCCGAACTTTCAACTTCTCTTCTTTTGCAGTTACAAATACTAAATGTTTTCGGTTTTTCATAGTTAGTCGTCTCCTGTTGTCTCATAAGATGTCCTTATGTGTCTTGCTCCTGTGACTGCATGCGAGCACAACGCACACAGTCACAGGAGCAAGACACAACACAGCACAATACACACACATGAATGTAGGAAGAGTGCTCCCATAGAGGAGGATTGGCGTGATTCCCGTATTTGAGATACAGCGTATGGATGACGAATCCTGAAAGGTTTTAATATTTAGAATTTATTGTTATACATGACAAATACATATTTTAGTCATTTTAGAATGAAGACGTCATGGCATGCAGTGCAGTAGTTTGACGTGCATAGATACACACCTGAAGATGGCACATTGGTGCTGAAACATGTAGTGTAAAAGTGAAGAGAAAGGTGAAATTAAATAAAAAGTGTGCACCGTAAGACGGTTAGCATAAATACTGTAACGTGTCAGCAATCCAGAGGGGTAACTTATATGGAAACGCTAGAATAGACCGTTGCATAGGAAGTAACAATAGCGGCACTGTAATCCCAACAGTGAGCCGTTGTGTAGACAACATCGAATCTCCACGGTTACGACGAATACGCGAAGCGTTCCCACAGAGACAACGCAATAACAATGGGTCATTGCGTAGGAAAAAATGGAAAAATATGTCATATTTGGAAATATAACTTTAAGAGCTGTACCGGCTTTCATCATATAACTTGCAGCATCAGTTACAAAGAGTAATACGCACTCATACTGAATGCCATTCGGCCATAGTAAATTCATTGAATTGATACAAAATTTGGAAACTGCGGAGCTATTTGTGGTTTCAAATTGCTCTACCGCAAGAAGATATGGGGTAGATTGTTCAGTCTTGTTAAGGGATCCAATTATACAATTTGCAATAAACCATCCTTCACAATCTTGTGTTTCGTCAATTGATACCCACACAAAATTATCTTGAATCTTATCTCTAATGCTTTCAATTGTAAGATCGTAACACTGCTTCACGTAATTTTTGCGCGCAGTAGATTCATCCGGCACTTTGCACTGTGTATGGTTCTCTATGAAGTTTCTCAGAGTAGGATTGGTTAGTTTCCACAGCAGAATACCTGCTGCTAAAAAGGTTTCGCATAAATCAAAGGAAAACGGGGGAAAAACAATTATTAGAAAATTCACTAAGCAATTTTTGAACAGGGACACTTTTCATGGATTTAATTTTAATATTCTTTTCGTGTATATTAGTGTTCAAATGCCGAAGCACTTGAAAGCATTTTTCACAACCATTTTCTCACATGCTCAGCAATAAAGCATTTTGTTATCTGTGCTTATCATTTCTCCTTCGAACTCCCGCTGATAAGCTGTAATTTAGTTTTCTGACTTACTTTCACCTTTGTCATGTCTACAGAAAGCTAAACAAACTTAACTGCAGACTAGTCACCACTAATGTGAATGGCTCCCAGCTTCAAATGAAGAAGCGTAACGAGCCTCATGGAGACTTAGGAAATAAATAAGTGAAGTCCCTTATCGGTTGAATAGTATTACATTGATAGCGGCTACATGTGAACGCTTCTGACTAATCTCTTCGCAGCCACTTTGATGGTACAGGGATGAGGCAAGTTACGAGTAGAGGGATCAGGGAAGTCCCGTCCTGGGTATTGCATCAGAAACATGAATCATGATGAAATGCTGAGTCACATATGCAACATATTCTAATACGGAGAAGAACAATTGTATACACACGATCATGATTGAAAATTTGAACATAAATTTAAAAAATATATATGATAAACATTTAAAAAGGAAATATGCAGTATAAATAGATATTCATAAAACAGGCAAAATATGCATTTATATACACCATCAAACCATGTCCAAAATTTAAGAAATAAAATAATTCATACATGCTTGTATATCCAAATGAGCATACTTTCTGGTTGCAAGAAAGAAATATGCATTTGCATTAAAATCCGGTCCCTACTCATGAGCAGTAATAGGACCAGCTAATAAATAAAATCGTACTTGATGTATAGATATAAGTGATAACTGTACTGTAAAGCTTTTTTCTGCTTTTCATTAATTGTGACATTACAGTGGTCTCGGAAAATAACCATGTTGCATAATATGTGCATCCTGCCTGCATTAGGACAGTTAGTGTCTAGAGAAGGTTTCAGGTTCTCCAAGAGCAGCACATGAAATAAGTGTACATCGGATACTCTTTGTACTTTATTGGTTAAATGAGATATGTGAACACAGCTGCATAATGTCTGCCACTAACATATAGATACATAGGTTTTTATTTCTCTTTTCTACAAATTAGAAAGTGCTTTGCATTTTGATGTCATACTGCTGCTTAAGGGCACTGTAATAGCAAAACGAGCAAAAAATTTAAAAACTAATTAAATGCAGCTTTTCTAAAGCTACCACAATAGCAGTGTGTACACGTGACTGAGACAAAGATGATGCAGGAGCGAGATATGAGCATGTTCGAGGGATTAAGAGAAAATAGTGGAGCACATGATGGTATAGACTTGAAAGGATTATGACGATAGTGTATGCTGTACAGAACTATTAGCCTTATTTTGGATTATCGTCTGATATATATAAGACAAAAAACCACAATATTTCAGAGACTGGATCTGTCTCCGTCCTCAGATGGATGGGGCAGGATAGACCTACTCAGTTGGGCCTGTTAGATAGAGATAGTCTCAGCCCCATCCACCTGAGGACAGAGACAGATCCAGTCTCTGAAACGTTGTGGTTTTTTGTCTTATATATACCAGAGGATGGATAGAGTCCAAAATAAGCCTAATAGTTCTGTACATGATGGTATGTATAGTACTAGAGCATGTTCAGCAAGCTGTTTATACTTTACACTTTCAGCAGTTAATTGTTTCATTAGTATTTGTGTGTATAAGCAAATATGCATAGGACAAGGATTTGCTGTTTATCAAGGCATCTCTTCACATGAACATGAATTTCTCCTGTTTTTCTTCTACAGTTCCATTTTGTACCCAAGTACTGAAATGGGAATAATGAGCAAGACATCTCTGTCTAAAGTAGTATGCAGTCTAATCACTTTTTTTTATTGTGATTTGATTTTCTTTATTGTGGCACAGCTGTTTTGTCCCATGCCACTCCTTTTTAGGTAAGTTGGATGTTAGTTTAGTTATATATAAAGGTCATCTTTTGCAGTACTATTTTGGAGATATAAACTTGCCAAGAGACAAATTTCTTCAAGAACAAATAAAATTGGAAGATGGTTGGGTTCCACTCGAAGTAATTCTGAAGTTTAAGCGCCTCTCAAACCTCACAACAGACCCTGATGTCATAGTGACAGCTCTGGAAGCATCGGAACTCATGGAGGTAAGGACTTGTTTTATACTTTTGAATGAACCTTAGTAAGAAACTAGTATTTTAAGAAATTTTCAGAACCAGGGACAGACTTAATGGAATGATATGTGTGTGATGTGCATGTACCTCTGTCATACAACTGAAAGAAAGAAATAATGTTGTGTTGTGATAAAAAGGCTTTAGTCACTAAACATCGCTTTTCAGGATAAGAAGAAATAGCTTTAAACATTTATGCTGTAATATACTTAACATAGTATTTCACCTTGTTGCTGAATCGGAAGTGATGTGTCTTAATGACATAAACTCCATTAGAATTTCACGATCCATTAATCCAATTTTGATCAATTTTTGAGAGTTCTCTTTTCCCTAATTTTAACATAAGATGTAATGAAAGCCAGTAAACCAGACATGCTTATCTTTAAATACCAATTCTGAGTTCTGTATGCTGTCTGCAGCATCATGAAATATTTTTACACCTGTTCTCCGTTGAGGAATATTGAAACTGTATGAGTTGCAATATATTCTTCTGGCCTTTGATGCCTTCTTCCATCTGTTGTTTTATCTTGGGACAGTTATATACAAGCTGTAAGTCTGTGGTGAATGATTGGCTCCTTATTTTTCCACGAAACTGTGAACTGTGACCACACTGGTATACTGAATCTGTTCTTCAGTCAGCTAACTGCTGAAGAAAGCCAGTATGGCAAGACAACACTACAACAGAGGACTGTGGCCTCCAAGATCCCAAAAATCTCAGTTTTAGGGATATTTATCTGTGGGGAAACCTAAAGGGAAAAGTCTAAGAATAAACCTTGGAGCACTGAAACTCTGCAGAATGACACAAGACTACAATAATGCAACATAAAAATATACAACTAGGCATCCAGAATATAACAGACCAAAATCGTTATTTGATATTGAAATTAAAATGTTCCTCCAGTGAGTAAAATGAATTTAAGAATAGAAATATTTTTAAAGGAAATTTAATTTTAATTAATTTTTAGTTAGTCAAGAATTGTATAAAATATGTTTTATCGAAATTTAGTGTCAATAAATTAGCTTTAAACCAATCATTTATGTTTTTAAATGTTTGAATAGTATTGTTTTCATAATCTAAAGGGCTAGAATTCATAATAATTATGCTGGTGTCACGTGCAGAAAGAACAGGTTTGGATTGACTAATTATAATGTTTGGCAAGTCATTTATATATAAAAGAAATGGTAAAGGTCCAAGTATTGATTCCTAGGGAACACCATTATTAACTTTGTCCCATCTGGAATGAATATGCATATTATTGTTTACAACCCTTTTGTATCTGTCTTTGAGATAGGAATTTATCAGTGCATTGGCCTTACCAACTATTCCGTAAAATTCTAGTTTAGATAGTAAAATGTCATGATTGACACAGTCAGAAGCTTTCTTCAAATCACAGAAAATTCCACAGACTAATATTTTGTTATTCACTGCATTAAATATATCATTAATTAATTTATGTGAGGCCATTTCTGTAGATCAGTTACTCCTGAAAGCATATTGTTCATTTGATATTGTGTTGTTACTCATTGTATGTTGTGGCAGTCTTGCATATGTAACCTTTTCAACAACTTCTGAAAATCATGTAAGATTTGAGGCTTTACCGGCGTTCCTTCGAAACGTCGGTTAACACCACATATACACGGTGCCAAATCCCAGAAGACTGCTTTCTTCATTTCTGAAAACGATGTCAGTAGTGATATAGGTCTGTAGTTAGTCATATTGGTTTTATTTCTGAATAGTTCAACCAAGTGGGGAAGACACCAGTTGAAAGATATCTGATATAAATATAAGTTAACAGGGAGCCAGTGAAAGGTGCGTTGATTTCTAAAATTCTAACCAGGATTTCATCATACCCATTAGAATTTTTTGGTTTTAAAGACTTAATTATATTTTCAGTTTCTTTAGTAGAGGTATGATTGAGTTAAATTTTTGAGACAGATAATTTGAATATTTGTCAGTATCCGACTATAATGTGGCCAGGGTTCGCATTATTGGTATTGATCTTGTCGGCAGTAGTTACAAAATAATTAATTAAAGAATCTTTAATCATATGATGATTATCAGTTAATTTCCCATCAATGTTCAAAAATTGTATACCTGCATTATTAATTTTTCTACCTGTGACTGATTTTATAATGCTCCAGGTGGTTTTCATTTTGAATCTGTTATAATGAAGATTTTTAGCTGATTTAAAAACATTTGCCAAAATTTTACAGTAGGTTCTATAATAATATTTTAGAGCTGGATCGTTACTATACCTAAGAGTTGAATAGAGCTCTCTTTTGTGCTGACATGAAATCTTTATACCACCTTTCATGCGAGGATTATTTTTAGCTTTAATCTTAACTGGGGTTTTTTTTTTAAGTTAGAGTAGAATATGCTTTGATAAGTATTAAGAAAGAAGTTGAAAATTATATCAACATCTTGATCAACAGAAATATTGTCCTAAGTTTTATAACTTAATTGAATCAAAAACACATTCATAGAGGACTTACTAAATGTCCTTACTAATTGGGTGCAACTGTTATGTGTTTGTAAGTTAATATTATTTATGTATATAATTTGGTCATCATGATGAGACCATTAACAAGTGAACTTATGGTATAATTTCCAATTCTCTTAAGGTAAGTAAAAATATTATCAATTGCAGTGATTGAGTTATTTTATATTCTAGTAGGAAAGTGCACTGTACTAGAGAGGTTAAAAGAAGATAACAGGATGTCTGATTGTTTTTTCCTGTTACTGTCAACAAAATAATTTATGTTTATATCATTTATATTATATATATACAGTAGAACTTGGTTATAACGTCATCAAAGGGACCAAAAAATAGTGTCGTTATAAACGAATGTCGTTGTAACCGAAATGGGCACTTCCAAAGTAGCCTTATGTTAGTCGCGTAAAAATCTACCAAAAACAGAGTTAAAATGTTGCATTTTTTAGTGAAATACGTAGTTAAGTACAGACTAACGTAACATTAACGTGGAATTGCCCAAATGTGTAATATCAAAGACATATTACAGCGCTTTTCACTGACAATACACACCGCACTAATACTGTATATTAAAGGTAGGCCTACTCACCAAATTACAGTAGATTACATCAATTGTTGTGCCTTACTGTACCTAGATACGAGTACAGTAATCAGTTATCTTCATCTGTTTCCTGTTACTTGCCCAATACACACTTTCTAAATTACGTTCAATGTCCATAATCAGAGAAATTCAGGAATGAAAATGACGTTACATACGAGGTTGATGCATTTGTGTATGTCGTACTAAGCAAGGTATAAAAACAGTTGCTTTATGGGGAATTAGTTCGTACCATTGAATATTTGACGCAATAGACAAGGTGTCGCAGAAACTGATGTTGCTATAACCAAGTTTTACTGTACATTCAAGTGCCAAAAGTCATGGGATAGCAGCATGTAAATTTATTTTTAAGTGGCGCCACTGTCCCTTGACGGTTTGGGAATGCCCAGAGCAGTATCAGTTGTGAGGTGTTCTCTTGTGAGTCAGGTTGAACACTGGCAAGTCTGCTCATGGCAAGCCGAAGTGAATTATCGGGGTTTGAACGGGGCATGATAGTGGCTGCCAGGCGGATGGGACATTCCATTTCTGAAGTTGTGCAGTCATTCAACATTCCTCGATCCACGGTGTCACGTGTGTACCGGGGATACCTTGTGGAAGGCATTTCCACTCACCGTGGACAGCGCAGTGGCCAACCATGGGTGCTTAATGATCGTGACCAGCAGTGTCTAGCTAGAATTGTCCATGCTAACAGACAAGCAACACTGGCTGAAATCACATCCACATTCAATGCAGGAGGTACCAGACGCATATCCAGCAGGTCAGTGCAGCGTTCTTTAGCTTCCATGGGATATGGGAGTAGAAGACCGACCAGAGTGCCTCTGTTAACACCACGACACTGGACACAGCGCCTCACCTGGGCTTGTGACATCACTAATTGAACCCTGGAGGATTGGCAACATGTGGCGTGGTCCGATGAGTCACGGTACTAGTTGTTTCGGGCGGATGGTAGGGTTTGGGTGTGGCGCAGACCCCATGAGGCCATGGACCCCAGTTGTCAACAAGGCACCGTGCAGGCTGGTGGTGGTTTCATACTGGTGTGGGGTGTGTTCATGTGGCATGAGTTCCAGATAAAAGCCAAAGTATGACAGATGCTGAAAATACTCTCCATTCTGTATGCTTTCCAGGCACCGTAATAAATGGTTCACATTCGCTTACTTTCTTTTTGGAAATAGAGCAGACTTGAAACTTGAAATTCTCCGGTAGGGACAGTGAACAGGGAAGGTTGTGAGGGAGCTGTGGTAAGAGCTGTGGGCAGCACCAAAAACAAATGGCATTGGTTGCTGCAAAGTGGGCACCCATCCCAGTGCTTGCTGCTTAGGAAGATCTGTTGCCAGTGGTTTTTGGTGCACTTCATGGCTCTTAACAAGGACCACATTTCAACTTTCACAACTTTCTCTATTCACTCTCTGTATTTGGCCTGAAGGGGCATGAGCCCCCNCCACTTCCAATTGAGAAACTCTCACCCTATGCACTTCAACACAGAAATTAGGGAAAACATAAATCTCTGAAATGTTGGCAATAGTGTCCACATCCACATGGTTGCAAAATCTGAAAGTTGAAACATGGTTCCATATAAAGTGGGGAATTTCTTAAGCAGCTGGTAGCTTCTCAGGGACCCTGCCCCATGAAGTTAATTGAAAATAAATCTGTTAAAAGGCTTTGTAAAAGTAATATACCGAGTAAGATTTGAGTCTTTCACGGCGGTGACTATGAAGAAGGCAGTCTTCTTAATATACCGAGTATTTGTAAGGTAAAATGTGCCTTTATTTAGGGAGTTTGGTTTTATTTTCCCACATAGGTTAGTGATGATAGAAAGAAAATTCGTCGTAATCCAAATTCCCCGTTGCCGGTATTCAATGAGGAACGACGCAAAGAACTCATGACTCGAACCGTTTACTGCAAGGGGTTTCCTGCGGAAGGAACGACATTGGACAAGTTGCTTGATTTCTTCAGTTCATATGGTCCAGTCGATAATGTTCAGGTAACTTTAAATTTTAACACTTCATGAATTTTTTGTTTTAAAGAATTTGTGTTAACATTGCCTGTTTAAGCAAAAAATTAATTTTGGCTTAAAGATTCATAGTGATATATCTACCATCTTCATTGTGTTAATTAGTGTTAAATAAACATTTAATTGTGGTAGTTACTTCACATTATTAAGGTGTCAGTAAATGACAGTAACATTTAATGCATTTTTCCTTAATATAGTATGTAATGTTCAATGTAACATTTACTTTTCAGATGAGATCATACATAGATAAGGCAACAAACAAATACATATTCAAAGGATCAGTGTTTGTTATTTTTAAGACTAAAGAACTGGCAGAAGATTTTTTGAAAGAGGATGTCAAGTATGGAGATATAGAACTAATAAAGAAATGGCAGTAAGTATTTGCACGTATTTGCATTCGGGGATTTGCAAAAACTGAGGCAGGGACAAAGTGGAAATGTAACATAGTTCTAAAAGTTTGTGGCAGTGACATAAGCATGTTCACTGGAGTTTGTCCATTCTTTGGATTTGAGATGATGTAGACATTATCATTACTTTGCTGCTGGCTCTAGATTTTCAGTTTGTGAACACCGACTTCTGATGATTTTTATATATATGGTGTAAAACAGACAGGATGGGGAAAACTGACGGGCATGAAAAAGGAAGGGCATAAAGACTTCTCCTGTGAATCCATGTTTAGGCTATGATTGTAGGACACTTCTCTTGTGCTGATCTTCATGAAATTTTAAATCAAAGTTCTTTTCACATTTTTGCAGCCACCTCTGATATTTACATTTGATGAAAATCAGCCCAACAAGTCATGAGTTGAGATGACATGCCATAGAAATTCCATGTGTTTAATTAGCCTGAAAGCTGTAAGACTTGCAGAAAAATGTGTGGGACAAAAATATATTTAATTTTTTTCTGATATTTTTGTTTGAAACATTTTTTGCTCCTATAATTGTATAGTAAGTTGTGCTCAAAATGCATGTGGAAATTTCTATACGCTTTCTGGTACAGCATCCATTATTGTGTGAGTATAATTTTAAAAAAAATGGGAATAATATAAATATTATGTTTCTGGACATTGTTCATCATTCTGTTTTTATCTAAAACACTGTCCTGTTTATATTTCAAAATACAATGTTTTGGAGACTGGATTGTGTCTCTGTTATCAGGTAAAACCTACTCAGTTGGACCCATTCAGTAGAGCTAGTCCTTATCTCCAGACCTTTTATTTAAAGCATCTTCCTGATTTTTATTTAAACAACTTTTCAGAGACTAGATTCTCTCTAGTAAGGATGGTGTTTTAGGTAAAGACAGGATGTTGATAATGCCCAGGAACATAATATTTGTACCAATGTACCATCTTCACAAACTTTTACATCTTATAAAAATTGGAATATTGCCAGATTTTAGTAAGACTTCCTAGTATCAGATTTGATGAAATCCATTACTGGTTCTCAGGTTAGCACACAGAGACATGGCAAAACTAATATGCAGATTCTTACAACATGCCAAAATTGGCTGCTATAGCAAGTTGCAGAATTTCAGGTTCATCACATGAAACAACAGTGCTGATGGAGAGTTGACATTTTTCTGGTATACTGGACTATATGCCCTGAGTATGTCTTAATTGGCTATGGAATTAAGTTGCCATCATCACCTCTCCCCCCGTGCCTCCTCCTCGATGATGATGATGATGATGATGATGTCCATTTTCACAAAAGAATGCGCAGCTTAATGAGGAATGACTTCCTCATATGTAGATAATAAAAATAGTTTATATCAGCGCGGTAGCATAGTGGTTAAGGCATTATGCTACAAGTCGGAAGGTCGCAGGTTCAAATACCGATGAGGTCATTGGATTTTTTCAGTTGACCTAATCCTTCCAGCAGCACTATGGCCCTGGGGTTCACTCAACCTCTAACAGAAATGAGTACCAGAAATTAAATAAATACTCTTCCTGGAGAGTAAAGCACGGCTGGCGCGTAAGGCTGACCTTACCACCATCTTTGAGTCGTTTGTCTAGATAGTGTGGGACCCTCAACGTCTCACAACCCTATGGGCCTACATGGCTATCCACAGGGATAGCTTTACTTTTTACTTTAGTTTATATCAAGATAGGTCCAGAAATGCATAGTTTCCAGGTTTTTAAGGTATGTGTATGATACTCAGCTCTTCACATTACCTTACAGTAAATGTTCCATGTACCTACCTCTTGCCTGAAGACAGACCTCAGCTTGACATGTCATTGCCACCCGAAGAGATCCCAAATTCCTGGCATGCCACAATTCAATTTCAGAGAGTTTCCACATCATCCATTGCAGACAAATACACTAACGTTTTTAAATGGGTCCACATTTGAATTAGGTGAGCATGGAGGTCAGGCAATTGGTCCACCTGTACTGATCCACCGACCAGAAAACTTTCAATATTCAGGTATCTGCAGGCAACAAGAATAAAATGTGCGGGAGAGCCATCATGCATGAAGTGCAGTTCTCTACAGATGATCAGTGGCACATCAGCCAAGAAATCTTGCATGTTGTTTTCCAAGATAGCTTTGTAATTTTATCATGTAAGCCTGTTTGGAAGTAAGTGAGGCCTAAATAAATTATCACCACAAATACTGGCCCAGATGTTGATTGGCTATTGGTGATGTGATGGAAGAATCACATGTGGATTTCATCTGCGCAATCTGCTGATTGTGAGAATCCTGGATTACATCTCTTGTGAACTGTGCTTCATTCATAAATATCACAAAGGCAGGGAAGTTGGTATTTATACCACACTGTTGTAAGAACCAGTGGCAGAACATTACTCGTCCAGGGTAATCTTGTAGTTACAAGGCCTGTACATGCTGTAGAAGGTAGGGATACAGCTTTTGTTCTCACAACACTCTCCAGACAGTTGAATGAGCGACACCTACTTGCATTGATAGCCTTCATATGCTGGTTCCAGGAGTTCATTCACAACATCCAGAATATCCTCTACTTCAGGACTCATAGATCTTGGTCATACCCTTTTGGCAACACAGGATGTAAAATTCCCCTGTTCACAAAGGTGGCAATGGATACTTAACAACTGTTTTTCTATCTGGATATCCTTGTCATGGATACATTTCTTGGTACAAATGAGGAGCCACCACAGCATTACCATCCACAAAACCATACAGGAACTGCATATCGGCTAGCTCTTGATTTGAGTACATCATCTCAACAACTTGCAGTCACCACACAATTAACACACAATTACTGTACACTTCTTCTATTAAGATTTGGAAACTTTCCAACGCTGTGTCAGACTGATACCATGACTGTCTTAATGTAGTGAATGATGGAAACCATCCGCAGGAGTTAAGAAATTCAATTTTGTGTACAGCGGTTTTAGAGAACCTTAACTCAGAAATTACGCATTTCAGGACCTATGTTGATGTAAACAGTTTTTATTGTCTGTGTATGAGGATCTAATTCCTGAAGTTATGCAGTGTATTTTTTAAATGGTTTGTCATAATCAAATAAAGGCAAAAGAATTATGGAGTGCATTTGTGTGTGCGTGCGAGCGAGCGAGATACAGGTGTCGAATCTGACAGAGAGGTCAGATGGCTCTCCTTGCAAGTTGAGTTGTGCTGTCTAGAGAACTTGCTGTTTCATCTCTGAACTGTATTTTTTTTTACGTTGATTTTCTTAAATTGGTACATCATGGAATTAAATTAATAATAGTTCATATAATTAAGGCTCTCAGTAGGTTCATAATTTAGTTGATTAATTAGTTAATTATTAGTTAGTTAGTTAGTTATTGGAGAGGGTGGGTTCCCCATGCACTTAGACCAGTATTCGTCCATTGTGCTTCCCTCTATGATATTCTACCAATCTCTATATCCTACCGATATTGGTGCGTACCATAAGTCCCAACTGAGCCAGCGAGTTCGGCCTCCACTAGCTTGGTGGTATCTATAATGCTTCCCCCATCTTTCAGAGGTGTTAGAGACTACTTGTTGGGCAGGAAACGTCCTTGAATTTGGCTCAGTGACCTTTGGAGATATGAGGTTCTTTTACGTGCTGTAAAGCTACGACATGGGACCCACAGCTTAAAGTCCCTCCCGGAGGACTTGTTCCCTGAATTTTTCCGCACTTAAAAATTCCACGACCTCTGCCAGGTTTGAACCCGCATACTACGAGTCATGAGGTGGGAACGTTACCTCTAGACTATGGAGGCCTCTATTTAGTTGATTAACTGATTATTTTCGATTATTAATCAGTTGTTTAGTAAAAGGAAGCAGTGTTATGAAAATGAAACTAATGTAATGTGACATGAAAAATAATCTTGTCATTTGTAACAAGGAGCCATTGTTTCTTGCAGTTAGGTAATGTAGATTCTGACAGGTTTTTTGACATTGCGATCAAGATTGATTTTGAGTCACATAGTGTTTATACAAATCTTGCATCTGGTCAGTACTGTACTTTTAATTGCAGATCCAAGTATCTTGAACAAAAGAAGAAGGAACATGCCATGAAAAAGAAGGCGGGAAAGAAAGAAGCGAGTAATGCCAAAGCAGTAGCAGAAGGGGAGCAAAAGGTATAATTCGTACTTCTCAGCATTATTTTCTGAAGTGAAGCTGAAGTCCCTGTGCTTAATTAATTAAGCACTATGCCATGAAGACATGGGGGAGTGGAGGTAAAGCTCCAGCTGCTTTACCCCTGAGAGAATCACGCACAGTGCCCGTTGGATGGGAGGCTGGGTGGGAACCAGAGCCAGTCTCTGTTGGTATATTAGATGGTAATAATGAGGTTGGTGTAGGATGAATCAGAACTATATATATATATTCCAAGTATTGCCTGTAGTCAAGATGAAATCATAATATACACATAACTAAATTAATCCTTCAAAGTGTGGCAGAGTTCACATATTTGAGAATGGCAGTAACGTATCAACATTACATACACGAAGAAATGAAAGATGGTTAAATCTGGAGATGTCATTCAGTTCAGAATCTTCTGTCTCCCTTCCCTTTATCAAAAAACATAAATATTGAAATATACAGAACTTTCTTGCTGAAGGTTGGTATGGTACTTCTAGACCCCTGTGTATCAGCTAAGCACACTGAAGTTTGTGTAGAGGTGCAGAATATTACACAGTGCTAAGAAGTATCTCCATGAAGGAGCATCTGTAAGAAACTCATGGTCACCCAGCTGGTCAAGAAATTACCATCAGTTATAGAAGCTAAGGTGCTCACCTTGTAGAAAGTCTCAGTTTAAGGGCAGCTGTCAAGTGCAGTTTAGTTTTCCCTTCACCCACCTCTGACAAAATCAGAACTTACGAACCAACTTAATAGAACAGGGTAATATATCAGCCATCTTTGTTGTGGTAACATACTGCTCCAGCCAGGGAATGTGAATTCCTTGTCATATGGTGAAGAACCTGGAGGCATAAGACCATAACAAACTGAAATGTACTTGTCTTTCAGAATATTATTCAGTTTACTAATTAAATGCTTGCATATTACTTTACTGGGAATTACAGGCGTAAACAGTAAAAGTGAAGGTATCCCTGTAACAGTCCGTGGAGGCCTGTAGGGTTGTGAGATGTTGAGGTTCCCACATTTTCTAGACAATCGGCTCATAGATGGCGGCAAGGTTGTAAGCCCTACGAGCCAGTAGCCCATTACCGCCAAGGACATTCCAAGAATATTCCTGGTACTCATTTCTGTTAGAGGCTGAGTCGACCCCAGGGCCATAGTGCAGCCAGAAAGATTAGGTCAGTTGAAACAAATCCAGTGACCTCATCGGGACTTGAACCTGTGACCTTCCGGCTTGTAGCATAGTGCCTCAACCAACTACGCTACTGAGTGTACCAGAAGGAAATTCCTTGTTTAGCCTTGATCAGTCATGGATCAAATTCATTTGTGCATTGCACACTTCAGCTGACCAATTGTTTAATTTTTCACTTATCCTGATGCTTCCCATTTAAAATATGGCCACCAGATCATATCAGAAAAGAAGATTTAAACTCGACCATTCTCTGACAAATTGTTTCCCCCAGAATTAAAACTTGTCTGCTGCTGCTGCTGCTGCAGTACCAGGTGATATAAAACTCATACATGGATGATGAAGATTAATGTACAAATTAATACAGTTAATTTTTTAAGGGGCAGTCAAAGTATCCTTAAAAATTTGTAATTATTTATTGTGTTTTTGTTGAAGGTTTAAAGTAGACCTGCACAAATTCCAAACACTATGGCATCTACAGTTTCCATGATGGCACTTAGAATATTCCTCTTTTATATTGCTACTAGCACATGACCTGCCAAAGATGAAGCACAGAGTAATTACCTCCTTTTCATTTATTCCATTCATATCTCTATCTCCTTTTTTCCTCATGGCTTTCCAGCCGTTTATTTTATTCAGGATACATTCATATCTTCCCTTCCCTCTGTCCACATTAAAGCAGCTCTTCACCCTGTTCTTCCATTCTCCTACTTCTTTATCTCTTTCCTTCCTTTCTCCCAATCGCCCTTTTCAGTCCCTGTTGTTTATCCATCCTGTGATCATTCCATTTTTTCCTGGCAGTGGTGCGTTGGATTTCCACAGAGCATGAAAGGAACTCTGCTATTTGTACACGAATGTGTCAGGATGTCTGTTTGTTAATAAAAATGAACAAATTTTCCATCTGAGGTACTTTTTTTATTCTGGTCTGACTAAATTTGTATAAAATCTGTGCAGTTCTGGTTTAAAGCACACATAGTGTGTCCGATATACACAATTTTCAATAAACTCAGTGTAATGATGTACCATCATAGTGAATTTAAGGTGGTGGTGTATTTGTATATATGACATACTTGAAGGAAGGTTGTTATCAGAGTGATGTGCTGTGCGTTAAAATAAATTTTTTGTGTTTCCAATTAAGATTTTTACCTAATCTGAATTTGTGTTCCATATATGAATTGTAAACGTTAAATAGGAACTCACTGTTGGTTTCATGTGATATTAAGTTTAAATCTCTTACCTTATTATAATTTTTAATGAGATAATAATAATAATACTGATGTTGCAGAAGGACAGTCTGCCTAAAGGAGCAATTTTACATCTGAAAGGAATTAATGGTGAGACAACGCTGGAGAATATAAGAGAAATACTATTGAAAGAAGGTTTGGATGTTGCTTTCATCAACTTTTCCAAAGGAAGTGAGGAGGCGTGGGTAAGGCTGCTGGGTGAAAATTCAGCAAAAGAGGTATGTGGTTAGGAAAAATTGAATAAGTAATGAAGATTTTGCCTGACGGCTTTCCATTTGCAATGTCCCTCTTGATAGGTGCAATGTGTTTATAATGCGTTATCTATCGAGAGTGGGTGGAACACATGGTTGGATAGTCTCGTCTCCTGTCCTCCTTCAGCACACATTTCATCTAAGTGGATGTCAGTGAAATTTGGTATTCAGAAATCTATATTACAAGTTATGTGATAAATTCCATTTTATATCCATGAAGAACTAACACTACCTATTCATGAAACTCAAATTGAAGTGCTAAAAAGAAATACATGTCTTATTCAGGCCTGTAACTTTTATGTAGAACAGTTTATTTATATTAACCCTTCAGTGACGCTGGACATTTAATTCCTACTCACTCCTTGGGTTGGAGGATTTTTAAACATTTAAAATGGTAAATGCAACATTTCGCTTAAAGTGTAATAAATTGGGAACAACTGGAGTTTTGTTTTCTGACTTTCACACTACATTCAGAAATGTATATAGAATAGGTGTATTCATCCACACTGCTTTAAAATTATATTTTGACACAGTAAACCTATGAAAATTAGGAATAATAATATTGTATTATCTTAGAAATTTGGCTGGGTGTGTTAGTCATTAAAACATTCCACAGAGTCCCACATCGCATGCATCACTCCAGTACACAGAATTGACATACATGCCGTTTCTGTAGTCTTGATTTTGTCGCAGTTGGTGGAATCTTGCTTATAAAATTTCTTTCTCCTAGACGGCGCACTGTTTGTCTGACGAATCTCGACTGTCAGTTTGTGTTCTACAGCACTAGCTCCTAGACGGCGCACTGTTTGTCTGATGAATCTCGAGCTGTCAGTTTGTGTTCTACAGCACTAGCTCCTAGACGGCGCACTGTTTGTCTGATGAATCTCGAGCTGTCAGTTTGTGTTCTACAGCACTAGCTCCTAGACGGCGCACTGTTTGTCTGACGAATCTCGACCTGTCAGTTTGTGTTCTACAGCACTAGCATATGGGACAGAGAGTCCCTCAGTTAACTTAATTCTGATTGACAATTGATCTATTCTTTTCCTTGTGTTATTTCTACATATTATCATCGCTTTCAGAAATTTTCTTTTTTCCCCTTGTAGTTTTCCGTATTCTGCCAATGGATTTTTGTACTTTTGTTGATTCTGTCATATACCACAGAATCATGAAAAGCGCACTGAAGGGTTAGTGGAATACTAAGAAAAGTTACTTTACACTCTTTACATTGTTGTAGCTGAATTATAAGTAACCTTGTCAGTAGTAGAATTTTTTGCCCTTACTCTATTCATTGTTGATGAATTGTGTTAATACTTTCATTCCCATATGCATGGTTGGTTCTTTACTGGTTCTGCTGTATGTGACCAAGGTCAGATACTAACATGCTATGATAAAGCAAAATACTTTTCTTTCAGAAAACGCTTTGAGCATAATTTTCTTCCTCAGGCACTATATGGTGAACATAGCAGCATTTGATTTGAACATGTGTGAATCATTTACTATGCATTTCTTTACAGTGAAATACTCTTAAACTGTAGTGTACCACAAAATAGCTAGGCTGGAAAGTAAGTCGGCAACAGAGTCGCTGGGAGTGAAAGTGTTAAGAACTGCATGTATTCCAGTTTTGCGTCCTACACTCCATGGAATAGTTAAATGGCTGAGATTAGTTAGTCTTAAACTAAAGTTGATCTTCATGTACATTATAAAAGATGGAAGAAGGTGGAGTCACAGTATGATTGAGGTATGATCCCAGCACTTCAGAGCTTCGCTTGAGATTGATGTAGGTACCTCACATAGTTTGAGGGTGTTTGAAAATGAAGTGTTGAGATTAGAAGCTCTCACATTAATGAGTATTAAGATGAGGGCCTTGGATATGACTCCATATAGTTTTGTAGTTTGGTACCAATGTTTATGAGGAATGTGCTTCCCCATTCAGAATATTCTACTGTCAAGATGGAGGCAGCTACATTCCTTCGTAATATTGCTGCCAAATGATAAAACAATCCCGTCCAGTGTGACTGTTGAAGCTTTTACTACTCCACTTCTTAGCACCCTAACATGTTTCGGTCCCTATACACCATGGTCGGAAGGGACATCAATACTTTTAGAAACTACTATTACATTGGGTGTTTTGATTTTTAAAATACATAAATATACAATATTTGTAATATACACTTTATACAAAATCCAAATTTCCTACAACTACAGCAACTGTCCTTGATGCAGTAAAGTTTTTTTTAACTTTTTGTTATTTAAGCTAAAATTCTTTAACCAAATTGGATCGTGTCCCTTGTCCTTTCATTTTTCTTGACGGGGCCGAACTTGTGCCACCTGTCTTTCTTGGGAAGGTAGTTCTTCTTGTCCTATGTTTGTTCGTAGCATGCTGTGTTATTTTTACTGTCAACTTTGCCTCCTAGAGGACCATGTTCTTCACAAAGAAGATACTTACATTCAAGAGAGGCCACGCCATAGCTCAAGCAGTTAGTTGCTGGCTTCCCACCGAGGCAGCCCGGGTTCAATCCCAGGTCTGGTCAAGTGGGATTTGTGGTGGACAAAGTGGCGCTGGGGTGGGCTGTCTCTGAATACTTTGGTTTCCCCTGCCAATCTTCATTCCACCAAATTCTCCAGCATCATAATCACCTGGGACAGGCTACAGTAGGCCAATCAGTGGCTGCCATGCCTAGTGGACCAAGTTGGACTCCAACCCCCCCCCTCCCAACGAATTTAATTTTACATCCAAGAGAAATTAAAGTCACAGAGGACTAGAATAAATTACATAATGGAGAACTTTCCTCTGTACTCCGCCTATATTGTAAGGATGATGTCAAGAATGGTGCTGTAGGCAGTACATCTCATATTTGTGGGGAATGAGAAGTACATACAGAATTTTGCTCAAGCTAACTGTTGGTTGCTCAAATTAAGTCTCTTTAGTTAGCACAGTAAATAACAAGGTTCATTCTGCTGCCAGAGCTGTACATTTGAATTGTTAGCAATAAATATGTGTTCCTTTCATTTTTAGTACGTGAAGAAACTAAAGGATGGTAAATTGACAGTGTGCGGCACAGAACTTGATGCAAGATCTCTGGAAGGTGATGAAGAAGTGAAGTTTTTGGAGAAAGCCAAAGATCAAATGAAGAAGAGACAGCAGAATGTTAGAAAAAAGAAAAACCGCAAAGGTAGAGATGGGTTTATGGAGGAACATCTTGCTGTAGAACAAAATTTGATGTTGGCTCTCTGTTCAACCGCCATTTTCAGACAAGCAAAACAGTACTGTTACAGTCAAGGTCAGAACACATGATGCAGCGATGCTTGCACTTCGAAATTTTAGACAGCCACAGCTGAAACTTCAAGAATCTTAACGCCACAACTCGCCAACAGATGGCATTGCAGGGCAAAATTAAAAAAAGAAAAGAGTCCTAACGGATCCTGGACACACTGTATGTTTGAGACATATCTGTTTGGTGTGGGCAGATTTCTTTAAATTTCCTTTATTTCTTTCTTCAGTTATTAATGATTGCAATTATATATTTTTGTCCCTTGAACTTTGCAGTAATGAGTTTTTATAGTGTAAAACTGATGTTCTATTGTAGACTGTTGTCTCTGTAGGTGGACGAGGTGGAGGTCGAGCTGGAGGCAAGAGTGGGTTCATGGGCAAGAGGAAAAGAAGTCCAACACGTGATACTCCGTCAAAGAAACAGGATACGAACGAGACAAACAACTGAAGCCAAAGCAACAGAAACTGTGAAATCAGATAAAAAGAATCACCATTAATGTTACACACGTTATATCAGTGATTAGATCTGTATGAGAACTTCTGTGCATTAGTTCTGTAATGCAGTATCATAATGTTAAATGTCACTTTTCACTTCAAATTGGTTTCCATATAAAATTCTGAAACGTTAGTTCTGTTTCACAACACCTTAACCTGATGCAGTAGGGGTTTCAGGAAGATAATTTTGTTTTGAATTCTTCTTCATTTGAGTACTTTGTCAGACGTTTGTGCAAATGATAGCATGCATTTGTCTTTTTAGGAACTCTTTTAATTTTGATCATGTAAGGGTACAATAGAAAAGTGTTTAGTTTTGTATTTTCCCCCCCCCCTAGTAAGGTCCATCTGTGAGTGTGTGTATACCCAATTGTATCTCACAAGGATTTTCTTCTTGATTTTGGACTGGAGCCATTTCTTGAACCTTATTCAAATTTTTATACTGACTCAAGTTTTGTACTTGCATGACAAGACTTGTTGAGGATATGGTTTGTGCTATTTTCTTCACTTCCTTTAGGAAGTAATTATTGCTTCCTCACAGGGGTCTGTGTTCCTTACAACGGCAGTGACAGTGCCATCATAAAATACATCTAGGTATGTGAACAGTCGTGACTACTTGTAAATGCCCAATGCACTTGTAGTAGCAGTAAGTACACACCACTTCGATTTACAAAGTCTATTGCATAAGTACAGTGATGTCTATAGGGTCACCTTTTTGGAGACAGCATGGTTGAACATTGGAATGAAGGGAAACCTTAAATGGGAGAAGTTTTTAATGCTGATACTTGTAGTGGAATATGAAATTGAGATTCCAGTATAATAAGGCTCTGAGTGAAGTACTGTAAATATCTTACATGTGACATTTAAAAAAATGCAGTGAAGTTGAAAATTTGGTTGTTTTCATTTCTGTTTAATGATACCAAATCATGTTTAAAATTGTAACCCAGTAGCCATTATAGGAGACGTGCAATGATGACCATTCTTGATAGTTTTCAGCATATTGTATGGAGTATGGCCTCCAGGAAGAGCTGCAGCAAGCATGAAAAAGAAGTAATGAAGGAGGCTACTGTACAACCCTTATAAAACACCTTCTATGAATAGTACTTAGCTTAATTTTCCAAGGTGCCATATATTTCATGTGCACAGTACAATTGAGGTGTAAAGTAACTGCTTTTATAGATACTGTATGTATAGAAAATTTAAGAATCCTGTAAGAGACTTAGATATATCTTAATTTCCAATAAAAATTAACCTCTGGCACCGCCTTTCCTTAAAACTATGTACAGTTATAGGTTTCCACACATTCTTCCTTTTTCCTATCAAGTCTTTTAATCACACTGTTTTTGTACATATTGTGACATGATGCCTGAAAGCCGGAATAGTCCACTGCTAGACAATGGATCGCTAAAGCACATCTGCAGCAATAACTTTGCCATGGAATCAACACACGTTTTGTACCAACGGATAAACAGAGAATAACAGGAGCTTTTCGAGATGGTGATCTTTATTCGGTTTGCCTGAAAGTTATAAAAGGTGGACACAATTGATTCATTCATCCTTAGTGATTTGTAAGTGACCGATTCGTAAATCTGTCACAACAGAAGAGAAGACACTCGTCCAGTAAGGAATGAAGGGAGTCTTAGACAGTAATTATTTGTGATCTGTTATAATTGGTTGTAATTATAATAAGATGTGCCAATAAATCCAGTCATCAAATCCAGAACCTGTTGTTATTAGTCACACAAACCCCTCATAAGTGATAATATAGTAAGCTTATACAGGAGTGAAGTATCTTTGAATGTTGTCCTGAAATTAATACTTATCATCTGGCAATTATATTTATTTAAAAAACAAACGTTCGGCTTTTATGAAATGTGAACTCAAATTATGAAATTTAATAGATCTATGCTGTGAGTGAAAGTACCTGTGTTAACCCTGAATATTCTTGTACATCTGTTTTCTGTGCTTGATCTAGGTCATGCTGGGTGTTCTGCAACTAACTCCGTGGTCCTGGCTGGATCAGGTAAATTCCTGCTATTCCTCACCGGCACAGTCAGTCTTGGTTTTGGGTCCACTCAGGAACCATGACTATATTTTTTGTGCTTACCAAGACTTGTGTGTTTTGAAATAGAGCCTTCTGTTCAACCAGAAGAGGGATTTGACTGCTACTGACCACTCCCTCTACTGGCAGACTAATCTGCCGTGGTCTGGTGAGTTGCTTAAATTGCTGCTGGTTCTTGCCAGCACAGTCATTCCTGGTTCTAAATCCCATGTTACTCTTGACCATATTTTACTGTCCTGGTTGTGATATCTGTTGTGGAATAGTGTCCTGTTGCAAGAAATGAATGTGTGATTGCTGTTTAAAATGTGCGAATTCATTTTTAAAATGTATCTAACTTTCAGCCTGATATTTTTATATAATTTCATGTGTATTGTGTACTGTGACAACTGAAGCTAACCATTGAAGGATTTTTTATGTGACAATATTCATCTTATTGTTAATGTAAAGGACTTCATTATACTGATAGAAATAATATGCTCCTTTCTACAAGTATTGTTTTCTTTGGCAGTGTATTAACATGAAAAGATGTTTATAATATGTGACAGTTACTCTTCTCCAAGTATAATTAGAATGATCAAGTCAAGGAGGATGAGGTGGGCAGGTCATGTAGCACGAATGGGGGCGATGAGGAATGCATATAGGATATTGGTGGGAAAGCCAGAAGGAAAGAGACCACAGGGAAGACCAAGGCATAGGTGGGTGGACAATATTAGAATGGATCTTAGAGAGAGAGGATGGTATGGATTGGATAGATGTGGCTCAGGATAGGGACCAGTGGAGGGCCCTTGTGAACATGGTGATGAACCTTCAAGTTCCATAAAATGCTGGGAATTTCTTGAGTAGCTGCAGAATTGGCGGTTCCTCAAGAAGGGCTCAGCTCCATGAGAGAGTTAGTGGTGAGCAAATATTCATAGCCCTTAGACCTGGATTTTAAGAAATATTTGTTTTTGTTTTTCTCACATTGGAGTGTTTTTATTTACCATCTATCTAGACTCATTGTGTTGGAATTTCAACTATATTTCAGTTCTTTAAGTGTATTACGTCTCTTATACTGTAATCTGAAGATTTTTCACGATTTCTTTTGTATCTCATTTATTCTGTTATCATTTGTAGTGTTCTTTCTCTGTCACCCTCACAACAATTTCCCTGTCTGTGTTTAATTTGCTAACTTCATCAGCAATTGGCACTTGTGTCCTGTTTCTCACATCCAGTGGGATAGATGGAGCATGTGGTTCAGAATGACACACAGATCTGGTTGGTTATGCAGTCTTTGGATTTTAAAATAAGATAATATGAGTGAACTTTGAAGATGCGTTGGAGTCTGACCTCTTGAGGCAAGTTAGGGATTATTAATTTTTAATTTCATTCTGTGTATTATATACTGTTAAAAATAAGTGATTATTGCAAAACATATTCAGTGAATTTAAAAGTAGTGCTTGCGACTGCAAGTGGGGTTTGGTGGACTATAAAAAAAATACCATCATTAAATCAGAATATTTTGTAGGTGTTTGCTGTATGCTAATTACAATGCAATGTATTCCAAGTATCCTATTGTGCTATTTTCTGTAGAGTACAAGGTAGTTCGTATAGTACTTCACAGATGGCGAATATTATAGTGTGCCACCTAGTCTCCTTACAAACTTCAGCAGATAGCGCTGTAGTCGGATGTTTATATGTCACGTGGAACGCGAACATTTTATTGCTGTGCAAACCGCACAAAAATTAAAACGAATTTGTGAACACCACGCGAATATGGCATGTAAACGTACAGTAGGTTAGCTTTTCTAAAGTTTATGTAAATGTACAGAACACAAGGTGCAGTTAGGATCAGTATTTCACGGAACATCACAGTATACGACACTAGCAAAATGCAGTGCAATTTGAGGAACGGTTATTGTTGTTCATTATAGTTATCTACATTTAACATCTCTGGTTCTTGGGCCTAGACATATGTCATAATTTCGACTTACAGGATGCGTTTCGTTATCACGGTTATTATGCAAATATATTCATTATCACTGTCCCAGTGCTTTCATAATGGGGCTAATAAGTTCACTTGGTTTCAATCCTATGTAAGTAATAATAAAACTGACAGCCTCCTTAGGCGGAAACCTTTTCAATTCAGATTTGTCTGTTACCATTATTTTTTTATGTACAGAGTGCACTGAAGGAGTCGGAGTTCGAGTCTCGGTAGAGTCAAGAGTTTTCTCTTCTCCTCGTAGTCCAGACCGGCTCTGGGATCCACCAAACCTCCTATCCAATGGGTACCGGGGGTAAAGCGGCTGGGGCGTGAAGCTGACCACCTCCAACTAGTACCGAGGGCAAGAGAACGTAGGCCTTCGTGGTGTAGTGCTTAGTTAGTTAAGAACAGGGACAACTTTACCATAAAATTACATATTTACTCTTCCCAAATACTTCAATCTACGTTATTCCCTCGGGGTGAGAGACCAAGTTGCACACCAGTACAAAGAAGTTGTCCTGTGCTTAACTAATTAAGTACTGCGCCATGAAGACGAATGGGGGAGTGGATGTATAGATCCAGGTTTTCTTGACCTCTGCACTAATTCGAGTGGTCAGCTTCATGTCCCGGTCGCTTTAACCCCGGGAAAGAGCCCTCGGTACCCATTATATAGGAGCTCGGTTGAACCCCAGAGCCGGTCTGAACGACATGGAATAGTGAAAATTCTTAATTCTACCGGGACTCGAACTCCGACCTCTCGGTCGTCCAGCCCGTAGCAAGTCGCTATAGCGAGTCAGCTATTCCGACCCTACACCCATACAAAATAAAAGCTGAAAGTAGTTCTGTCTCTCTTATCTTGTCTGTGCATGGACGAGAGACAGGAAAGGTAAATATTCTGAGCTACGTTGTGGCGAGTATCCCTCGAATATTATTTGACCGTGGATGTAATTTTGTAAGGCCTACCGCATTTCCCAAATATTTTAACTTCGCCACTTTTGCGAAGAATATTTTTGGCTATCTTTGTATTCCGATTCTCTCATCTCATATGAACGTATGTTTTTACTTCTCTCTGCGTTTATTTCTAGCCTAACCTTCTTACTAGCAAGTAACAGAGCTTTCTTCCTTCTCCTTAAAGCCTGTCCTTTTAATTTTCCTGAATATAGTAACGTTATCAACATTGGCTAGGAACTGTTACTTTCCTTCTGGATTTCCTCCAATTTTGCTAACGGCATATTTTAAAGCAATTGATGGATGTTTATCTCTGCGGGGCTCTCTTGTCCCTACACCTGTGAGAAGAAGAGCTCACATCAGTGGGGAGCTTCGGTACCCCTCTGTTGGTTTTTTCGTTATTAACTGTCGGTCTGCGTTGCGGTCAGACAATTTAAATTGAGAGACCCTCTAAAGAGGGCCCTGGACTTCCATTCTCTGTATCAGAGGGTCTAGTTGCTGGGTCTCCTGCTGTCGCGAGACTGGAAGAGGTCTCTTGCTTGGAGTGAGTAATCTGACCTCCAAGAAAAAGAATTGGCAGGCTCCCACTCGGGGATTCTGACTTCGGATGGCGATCGATTGCGGGTCTAGATCGGTTCAGGTGGAGGCCCTGTTGTCCTTGGCACAAAGAAAAGGGAAGGTTGGAGCGTCCAGTCTGTGCTCCGTGGGGGGGGATTGATTTCCCTACTTTGCGTAGCTTCGGTGTTGGGTCTTCTGCTGTCGTGAAGAAGCAGTCTGGTCCCTCAAGGGCCGTGGTGAGGGTCCACTGAGTGTAAGACCGTGAGAGCTCCTGGTGAGGTGAATAATCTGACTTCCAAGACGAATAATTTAACAGGCTAACGAAGAAGCGGGCCTGGTTGAGGAATGCTTTTCTCAAAGATACTGAGGCCTCAGTTGCAGGTCCAGCTGGGACCATCGCTAGGGCTCTGCTCTCACTGTCGACATACGACTTTTGGTTGCCATAGATACTCCACAGCCATTAATCTGAGAGAAGAAGGTTGTCCTGCATTGGAGGACTCAATTGTTGGATTCTCTGTTGCTATGATTCGGTCAAACTCCATCGGGGGCCCTAGTGAGGGGACCATCGAGGACGAAACAGAAGTCTCTTAGTGGAAGTCAGTAATTTCTCACCCTGCTTCGAAGGTCTCAGAAGTTGGGACTTCTGCGGCCATAGAGAGGCAGTTAGAGTCTCACAGGGGCTCTGGTGAGGCCCCACCGGGGGTGAGAAGAAGGAAGCTTCTTCCTGAC